AACAACACATTTTTTGTCTGTGTAATGCCCTCTGTCACCGACCAGAACTGAGCTTACTCAGCCTGTATGGGCCCCCCTGCTGTCCAAAAAGTTCCTGCACTGCCCTCAAATACAACACATATGCGGATTAAACTGAATAAAATGCAACCTATGCGCTGTATTCTTTCACAACGCATATGCATTATGTTCAGGGGAAGAAGGTAATCCGCGGTGGTGAGGGGGAAGAGTGGGGCCGTGGGTGAGGGAGGGCAGCTACCCGCCAAGACCGAGCATTTTGCCAGTAGCTGTGCCTCCCATCTACTTCCCCCGTCTCCATCCAGTGACAGCAGTATCTATTGCCCGTACTCAAACCCCACACACAACTCCACACTCAATTACCTGTTAAATCTCGAATGTTTTGGCTAAAAAAAAAAACATTCGTGAGTATGGAGGCTGAGGGTGCGATCAGATACATTTGAGATACTGCTACCTAGTGTGAGTACCCCCCTAAGGCCGTGCNAAAAAACATTCGTGAGTATGGAGGCTGAGGGTGCGATCAGATACATTTGAGATACTGCTACCTAGTGTGAGTACCCCCCTAAGGCCGTGCAAAAATTTGGACCATTTCTCGATTTATGCGTGTCATCCTTGCGCAGGGGCCATGCTAATCTTCTCTGTATGGTTCCTGAAGGCCTCAGTCTGATCTGTTTTGTGAAGTAGTTTGATGATTGCTTGTTGTGGTGGTTGATGACAATGCTTTTCGTTAGGTTTAGGCTTCGATGGCAGGAAGTCAATCCTTCCCTGTCGCTGGGAAGTAATCAATGCCCCTGCTATCTAGAGCAACATGGCAATCCATCACATCATCGTTAGGGTTTCGTCTTCTGGTTTGATCGATGATGGGATTGGCCTTGATGACTTAGCTCGTATTGGAGATACAGTAGATAAGTAATCAAATATGTACTAGGAGATTTCTACGGATCATTGTATAAGACTAACGAACACATATAGACAGTATGGGATGCTGAGTAGGAGATAATCACACATCATTGTATAGGGACGCTGGACCCGATTTCCAGCCGATACACATTTCATCATTGTACAGGGAAGCTGGACCTGATTTCCAGCAGGTGCAGCTCCCCACCAATAGATGGAGCCTTCGACGCTGGGGCCTACTTACCGGGGATGCTCTTATCCAGTAGGTTTCCTGTATACAAAATTAAAAAAAAAAAAAAAAAAGGTCTACGAAAAAGAAAAAGAAAAAAAAGGACACCAGAGGCCTATCTCAGTTGGTTAGGCAGGCAAGTGGCATTCAGGAGGGTGTGGGTTCGAACCCCACGTTGGCCAGCGACGCACTGAGTGCCAACCTACCGTGATAGTCCGCTTGGTACCCTGGTACCGCTGATGATCGGTAGGGTCTGTGACCAACACGGTGTGAGTGTGAGCGTGAGTGGGTTGTGCGTGGTGTGTGGGAGAGTGTTGGCCTTATAGCCACGGCTGCTACTCTATGGGGGGTGGGGGACGTAGATGGGAGGCGCGGCTACTGGCAAAATGCTCGGTCGTAGCGTCAGCCGGCGCCCCCCACCGACGGCCCCACCCTACTCCCTGACCACCACCGATTAGGGCGGGGGACAACATGGTACGTAGATTATAGTGAAAGGTGAAAATTGAGAG